CTAATTGGGATGTTTTTGTAACAGACCGAAAGGATTTGCCTTCGAGGAGTACGAAAACATTTCTCCGTCACTGTAGTTGCAACCGATCAAAGCGCTTCTTCCAGTTTCTCCCTACCGGTTATACTGTTTAGTCATCTTGAGAGCCAGCAATGCTACCATGTGGGTGTCCCAGCAGCAGTTGCATCCACCGAAGTGGGGTCAAACTGATCTCTGGAAATCTTTTAAAACGCTTTCACCTGCACACAGGCGGTTATGTGCTTAAAATGTTTGTTTCCCCCTGAACGTAGTAATTTTTTCTTCTAGAACGATATATTTTCCGGGTCAAGGCTTTGGGCGGTACCCAAGCGGACGATGAAACTCTGACGTAGCAGATCACCTCGTATTCATGGAGAACTGTTTGATAACTGTTTGACACTGTTGACATCAAATTTATCCAGCCACAGGGCTGCATGCGATCTCTATTAAATATGGCTGCCTGAAAAGTAAAGTGGCAATATATACATAACGATTACCGCGATTTTTCTGTTTAGGCAATCAGCTTGACGGAACTTCACGCGCGCGGAAAACGGTATATTATCCGACTGACCTGCTGGTGTGCCTCCGTACTCCTGATTATACACAGGTTGATTTTTGGCGTTGCGAAGACAAGAAAAACCACAATCACCCGCGTTCCCTTCTATGTCGACGACAAAATGTTGTGAGATAATGTATGCAACTATGTTGACAATATACTTCCTACGGGCAGCATATAGCCAAAATTTATGTATCTACCTGGCGTGTTCGAGTGGAGGTTGTAATTGGTAGCAGTGTTGCACTCGACTGGATGGTCGAACATAACAAACCTGGGCAACAAAGGCCGAACGACGGACTTATGTTCACTTCAAACAGGTAGAACACTATGCCACGCAACATTGGCCCATCGACTCCATAATCGATGGTAACGAACAGTAAAGGTGAAACCTTTGAAAAGCATAGACGAAGAAACTCTGCCGACAGAGCATCATGCTGTAAAATCACAGTTTGTACAGGGCTACAATGCATAGCTACTGGTCCAAGATCCACTATTATGTAAACAGCTCTCTGGACAAAAATTAAATGGAGGGACAAAACGAAAAATTGAAAGTTCCTGAGAATTATTCCCAGAACACTCAAATCCTAGAAGACTCAGATGGCGCAAAAAATTAACTAATTGTCTTGAACGGCCTGGCCAGAAGACTGAGATAGAAGAAATTCGGATGGCGCGGTATGTAATAATCTACTTTGGGCTTCTACTATCTTAGAGGCCACTGATCTCTTGGAACACAAACGTCCATCGATGATTGCCATTGGTCGACAGCAAGAGTCTACAGCCCTTAAAGCAAGAAGATGGGAGGGGTGGTTCACTTATCGGGTTGTTTTCCAAGTAGCGATTCATTATCCAACAGTTACAGTCTGCGCTGGCCACTCAACTTGTGCAGCAAACTTTGGGATGAAACCGGATATCCATTAACGACTTGCCTTTGCTGCGAACCATATTACGCCTCGGAAAGAAGATAAATTATTTTCCAGTTTTTAGTCTTTATCAGGACTCATCTGAACATGTCAATCCCTTCCAGAAGAAGTCTGAATGCCGAAAAGCTCCATAAGTGAACTATTTTTGACGACCTCACAGGTACACAGTACTATCTGGCCCACACATATCACGTGTGCTAACTCGTAGAGGTTGGTTTGGAAACTAACCAGACGATCAGGAGAAACAGCATCCAAGCAAATCACATTGCCAAAAAACAGAAGAATCTATGAGAACATCGATGCGGGAACGGAGGAAATGCAAATGTATGATCTAAAATGACCAACAACCGCTAACATCAGCTGCACTGTTGTACAGTGGGTTAGTAGAAAGACAAGCTCTTTGAAAATAATCCAAGGGCTTGCCCCGAATAAAGCATTTCCACTGGTATTGCTTTTCATTGGAGAAGCAGGACAAGATTCTGCAAAGAGAGGAAGCAGTCTGTACCCGTTTTAAAGTCAAGTGTGGCCACAAGGGATGTACGCAGTGCATAGACTCATGATAGGACTCCAGTAAAATGCAGCGAGGATAATGCAGTAGTGAGGATGAGATCCAGTTAGTCGTACCAGCCTGCATAATAAGGTAAACCACTAATGAATTGTATAACAAAACGTCTGGAGAAAGAGCTATCCCGAGACATTGGGAATTGCGGGACCTTCCTACATTCACAAAGGGCTTTAAAACGTTGTGTCGTATAACTTGGTTATCTTCCTGTCCATCCTACTAAGGGCAATGGGACAAGCTCCAAAAATGAGTGGCAACGCCAATAATAGAGAATCAGTTTCTAGCCAAAGCTCCGCCTGGACTTGTTGAATGCTTCTCATGTCTCTTTAAACTATTCTGCTTTTTGACAAATCAAAGGAGCGAGTGAGCCTTGCAGATAAGATCGAAAACTTTGGACACGAAGAGTCACTGAATCCCGTTGATGAGGTTTATCTGGTTCCAGCATCCTTTCTCGTTACTGGGATAGATACAAATGATCTTAATTAGGAAAATGCGTTTGCCATGGCAGAGTCAATTAAGTGTAGGAGCGGGCACGCATTGGTTGTCTCCTTCAGAATTTTTACTTTCGAACAGTTTCTGCGTGGCAGCCAAAACCAATGACTGAATGAAGAGGATGCTTTTCGATGATTTGACGGCGTTCCTGCGGATGGATGCGGGGGTTCCGATGGAATTACTCCAGCAATCCAGCAATCCATGGCGCTGAGAAAATGCTCTCAACTGCAAAGGGGAATCTCGCCTAAGCACGCAGAATCCTTCTGTGAGTTGTAAACTGTCGAAATGAGTTTTGTCGTAAAATGGTTGACGTTTGTGAGCTTGTCGCCCGAAGCTTGTAAGTACTTCGGGAAAACAGCGAACACATTTTGGCTAAATTATATGCCGACCCCATTCACATTTCAAATGTTTCTTATTTGTTCCTTGTAGGCCACTTCTTGGGAACCCAGGCTTTAAGCACTCAAAAACCTTAAGCGAACGCTATCTTGCAAATTTACCTGATTAGATCCAACTCGACCGCATTCAAGTTACCATCCGAGCTTCAGTGATCATCACAGTTGGGAGCGGAGGATTAGTTTGGAACTGGAATGAAAATACAGTCCATGGGCAGAGAGGGCACATATATCCGGTGGCAACGCGTTTGCCGAGCCTTTTTCAGTGTCCACAAGCGTTAAGTAACCAATAGGAGTGACACTGACGCTTCGTTATTGAGCAGAGTGGAGGATCGCCGTGACGGCTTTGTAGAGTTGTGGTGTGCACGAGTTTATATACGTGATTTTGAAGTGACTTCCGGTTACGTTAGTTGGCCCTCGTCAGCGGCAGGACTTTTCGCTTGTCTTTCTGGTGTGGCGTTTTGTACCTTTATTTTACTTCCATTATAACACTACGTATTTGATCAATTGCATAATCGTTTTTTAATACGAAAAACTGCAAAACGCGCACTTGTACAATTTCTTAGAATACAAGAGTGGTCACGTGCTTCGACTCTCTCTTCTGATTTGGCCCGCGCTTGCAGCGGTCATTCGCGAGTCTCATGTACTAACTCTGGTACCAAAACATTTGAGACATCTTCGGAATCTATTATATGTGGGAACTGTTCAGAAGAAGACCTCTGGACTAACATAATTGGATTATTGTTTATTCGCTGACCTGGGCCAACGACGAACTATTTTAAAGGGGACAATTTTTAGTGAGTCTGTTCCATCTGATCTCATTATTTTTGTATACCCAACCCAGCGTGATCATTTTTATTTCTTGGCCACGCATTCCTTTTAAACTAATTTAATGGGTAGCCAGACCACTACAGTGGTTCCTGCTGCGTTACAATTGATGGACTGGTACCACAACTGACCCTCCGAGATCTGTTCGCTTGTTGCTTGGCCGAGTTTTCGTCAGCCGATTTTGTCATTTCTCAATTGCAAGTGCAGAAATTAGGTCGATTCCGGAGTGGGATGGTTGAGGAATGGTGATGTGCCACGCGTCTCGCAATTTCAGATTATCTCTGGTACACACACATTTTAGAGTTTTTGTTCGCCACATTGGAACTGCGACGACTGGCCCTCGTGTTCATGATATGCACCGCATTTTACGTTCCTAGATCCGTATCAGAAGATTCTCACCGGTTTGTCCTAATTTGTGCTCGATGCATTTTCACGAAATCACGGATCTATACACAGGATCGAGGCCTTCGCTCAAATTTTCGGGTCGGTTTTGTCTTCGGATCCAGCAGCGGCCGTTAAATTGAAAGCCACACATAAATGCAGGATGTAGCACGGTACTTCGGGTTCTCAGCATGGGGCAGTAAACTTGGCAGCGCGTAGATTTGCACAAAAAGCGCCTTATAACAATTTGGACTAGGCACTAGATGAAGCGTGTACGACCGTCGGAGGAAGGTCATTCCGCACAGCAACTACTCGAAATGAGAAAATTTTTTGCCTAATTAAGGTGTGCGCTCTGAGCTCGAGAATACTTTTGCCATATCCCCACCGTGTGTCAGCTGAATCAGCGGTGAAAAACCGTTGGTCAAAACTTGTTTAAGCATGGCGGAAATAGCTGTAAAGTCTCCTCGGGTTAGACGATACTCCAAGGAATGTGGTCCAGCGGAGCGATACGCGTCTCGTAGCCCACAGATTTATGGCCAGCAACAACTTTCGTAGCAGCTCGTTTAACACGTCCTTCCGGCGTCCTGGTTGGCATATTCAAAAAGCAGTTTTCCGGTGTAAAAACATGGGGGAAACTTAGCATTCCCTCTCAAGTCTTGGGTTTCTTTTTAGCACCCTGATCCCATTGCACTGGACTTCATCTTTTCCCCTGATTGCACTATTTATTGACCTTGCGCTGGCTGCCAAGGTCGAAATCAAGGTCGATCGGATGACCATCACCTCTCACTTGTCTACTAAGCCGGCGCGACGGTCTTTCCTCGTGTGCTGTTCGTCGGTGTCGGTAGATCCTTCGGTTGCTAATTCACCGCTGCAAACTTATGACTGAAGTTTCAAAGTGGGTTTCTTTCAGAGGGGATTATATTTTCGTCATAGCGATAAATGGATAATAACACCGGCGGGTGAAATTTCTACACCCGATGCTTTACTCTCCAGCGATATCAGTAAAAAAATCCGCCGTAGTTTCTTCAAGAAGGATGTGGCCGTAAAGTGTATGTCTCCATTTTCGCTAATCGTTCTTGTAGCTTATAAGTGTGATTTCCTTGGCTCCGGCATATTTACAGCAGCAAAAATTTACATATCAAACAGTGCCATTTATGTCGTCCACCGACCTAAGAGGAGAAAATTGGTATGTTTCGTGTAGTGTTTGGTTATACCCACTAGACAACTGTTTCGTTTTCCGCAATATTTGATATCAAACCGCGAGTGGATCAGCAGGGCGTTGACATTCACCTGGACAATAGGGTAAGTTTATCAACCTTTCCAGCAAGCTTGATATCGTCATGGTTGAATTGAAGTTGTTCAGATTGCTGTGCTGGTTGCTGGTAACCCGGTCACACACTGGTAGTTTGCTGCTTCTATGCAAACCTTGCGTAACTAGTATGCTACCGTTGTGAGATTAACCGTCACGAGCCCTCAAGGTGATAACAGACATGCTACCAACTGCTTTGCAGAGTCTATTAAAGGTGTAACTGGGGTCTCCAGACATACATGTGAGCGCTTGGGAGCGTTCAACTGAACATACTTGTGTTCGAACTGGAACTACAACAGACCGCTCACAGGTCGATGAAGATACCCAAGATGTCTGGCGATCCTACTAATGGAATGGATCGTCCCACTTCGAAATGACCCTCCAATGAAGTGAAAGTAGCCGACGGACCGGATCGAGCAATCAGGATTCCAGTGTTGACTGTTAGCTCGTTGGGCCTCTTTACTTCCATCTCGGCCGGCTTATGGTTGTTCCGTTTGGCATTTTGGATGCGAACAGTATTATATCCTCTTGGAAAATGCATCATTCAGACTCGTTAGTTCACAGGAATGGGGGAAACAAACAACACCAACTTTAGTGTAAACAAGTGGATCGTTCTGCGATATGGAATTCAACTGAACCAGAATATAGAAAGAGCTAACTGTCCAATAGGATACAGTGAGAAGTTGAAACGTGGAAACAAGGTTTCAGTATACGAGACAAGCCGTTGGTAAAGCTGATTTGTTTAGATATAGTCCTCGTAACAGACACTTCCTGTCAGCTCCTGATAAGACCAGTGAGTTCTTGCCTGAAGACCCCCCTGTACTGGTAGACACGTCCCAGCTCGTTGGAGTTTATCGGGCTGACAGCTTTCATCGGCAAGTCGCCAGCGGAATCAAGTGCAGTCTATTGGTGATCATCAGTTGTGAATGATCTCTGTAGTCAGTTGATTCTTTTTCAGCCGTAATATGTCATTGGTGAGTAAGCTGTTGGCACCACTTCTTGAATTTGCTCCCACTTGTAATCATGGCCTCTAGCAAACCCCGTGCATCGGTAGGCTGCAGAGAATCCCAGAAATCAGACACTGAGGTTGGCAATGTTGTGAAATGTAGGTAGCTCGGGTGCGCTGCTTGGTTGTTGGTTTGTTCGCCGAGCTTGGGAATTGGATCGCAATCTTTTATGGGCAAGCGTTTCAGGAAGAACAGACGGATCAACCGAGTAGAATGTGCCTCAGAAATCCAGGAATACTAGAATTGCGAGTCGCTTATACATATAGCGTTGCTCTAGCACCTGTGAAGATTGGTTCAACGCAACCCCTACCAGGCCGGAATCCCGCTTGCTGCTCTCAAGTCAGTATCTCACGAGCCACCGTAAGGTGACGAAGCAAGATTGACGTCAACGGTCTCGTTACGACTGGGGTCAAGCTGATCCCCCCCCCTGTGGTTGCCACACTCTGCGCGCCCTTCTTTTGAAAATGGGCACTATCACCAACTCTCCCCAGTTGTCTGGGACAGACTCCTTTTCCAAAATGCAAGCAAACAGATGGGACAAGCGCTGACTGAAGATTTCACTCTCGTCTTTGAACAGTGCGGGTGGGAAGTCATCCGGACCAGGAGTTCGGTGGCGCTTGAGAGGACATATGCAGCCGTAAACCTCCGAGGCCGTAGGTGGTTCCACGTTCACCGTCCAGGTTTCCGTTTCACCTGTGGGCTCTAGATGAGTGCCAGCTGGTGGCCACGACAGTTGTAGCTCGAAGTATTCAGCCCACCGGTCGAGGCGTTCTTTATTCGAGATGGTCGTTCCATTCTGATGCTTTATGGTGTATCAGTCAATAATGATGGTGGAGAGACGTAACTTTTCTTTGGGGATCGGGCAAACTTGAGGAGACAGCAGAAAATTGGTAAAAACTTGATTGGTGGTCACATTTGAAAGTCGGAGGCGTTTTTTCTAGTCATCAAGATTGATCCGTTTTGCAGACCGTTGCTTCAGCCCCATTATCGGCTGTAAAACCCTGTACTTGCGGTACATTGGTTATAGCTGTCACGGTTTGTACTGCCGAGGATTTGGGGAGGTGGTGTAGATAGCTACGCATTGGGAGGCGGTAGCTGCTATGTTTGACGCATAAATTCAAGGATTTCAGCTTACATTTCATCGGGGGACCATTTGCCCGAATGTAAAGTGAAGTGTAGACCTGTGTGCATAATGATATGGTCTGTTCCGTATTCATTCCTGGTTTCCGCCCCACGATAGGAGCGGAGAGTTATGCTGTCCGTCCGTTTGATAGAATGAAGTCTATGTGGGAAGCAATTCGACCATCGTCGAAATATGGTGTGAGTGTGCCTACTCTCGGTGTTCGAGACTGTTGTCGGACATCGTAAGTTGAATTGATGTAGCAAAGTTGACCAACCTCCGTTTTCGGAGCTTTGTCCTGAAGCGAACTTGCCATTGACGTGACAGCAGTGTCCAAAGCATCGGCTCCCGTTCCGGTCGCCCACGACCACCAAGATATCTCGGTTGGGTGTCTGTATGGCCCCCCACTCTTTGTAGCCGTCGTAGAACTAGCCCCTGGCAGAGGAGTCAGTGAGGAAGTGAGAGCATGGGCAACTATGACGGTAAGCTTCGCCGGTTTTTTTAAGCGAACTGCGAAGTCCCTGACGACACAGGCTCTCAGAACTTGTTTGGAACGAGGGCCACATGTAGGCCCGGATCTTCAATTCAGCTGCTGTGTTACAACTATCAGGAAGATTCCATCCCTTGGACTGTGATGCCGCTTGAACTGAAATCAGGGATCCGCGTTTCCGAAAGGTAAAGATCTCAACCTGGTGGTTAAAGAGACCACATGTACTGGTAGTCTACAAGGTATGGACATTCTGGTGACCCATTACAACACGGTCTTCATGTAGACAGAAAAGGAAGAATTAGCACCTTGAATATTTTCCGCGGTGACGACCCAGCCGGCATACCGGAGATACCTTTACAGAAACGGGTCGTTTTACTGGGGAAATGGTCGTGTGGTAACATGGAAGTCTGTGTACGAGCCGCATGGCTTTTGCTCAAGGATATTCCTCAAATTACCTCTAGGCTGTGCGCAAATAAATGTCTCTGTGATGTGGCAAGGATATTTTAGGAAACAAAGCCGTCAGAATGGCCGTGGAAACTTATATCGATCTCATTCGCTCACTTCATTTTTTAGGGTTCGGTTCTCTAACCCTTGTACATCCCAGTGCGGCCCGCAAGGTCCCGAGGTCCCGATGGTCACCACATGATTCGTATGCGGACTCAGTAGTACAGAGTGCAGACCGGATGTCCATGCTCTCGTGGCTTTTGAAACCCCTTTATGTTAGTGTAACGCGTACCATGTCGCGCTGCCGTCTTTGTGCCCATGTGGCATTTTGTAGGAGATGGTTGCCAGCCGAGAATCGTCAGACCCTGGTGGCACCACCGTCAAAGCTCTGCTACAACAACAGCTGCTACACTGCAGTTAGCACTCGCGCCACGATAAGGGGTTATGCCTTAGGGGGACCAAATGCCTTGGTTGAGGACGCTGGCGACATCCACGCCTACTTACAAAATGATGTGCATGCAAGTAAGTTGATACCTAATCGGCCGTCGCTTTCTGTCACCAGCCGAATGGCCTTGCCTGCTGCAGAGTGGTCAAACGGACGCATACTGTTAGTGGCTTCTTTCTGTTTCACTTACTCGTTCTTTCTCATGATAATTAATAATGGTTCATCTATACCACTCTTTCGGTGGATAGATTCTGTGCAACCCAACCGTGGGACACGTTTATGACAAATCGCATCACGTAATTCAGTGGAAATCACTTAAATACGAATATTTACCGAGGGAACAGCTCCGAACCCAGTTTTATCGCATTACCATCAGCAACTGGTAATCATAATCAATCACTGTCTCGCTCTTTCCGGAACACCTGTGTGGACCCAGATCATGCACCTGTCTGTTGTTGCTTTTCACTTATATACTCAAAACCCGCACACCACTTGAGCTTATTGACCCCGAAATGGAACAAAGTTATCGAAACCCAATCCTTTAGCCCCCGACTGCCGGTTCCATATTGGATGTTAACCATCACTGGAGCAAGGTATTCAGAGGTGTATTCGATGCCGAAACTCCTGTCTGTGGTATAACCCAGCCAAACTCAACTAAACAATGGGTCTCTGATAGGATGGCGAAATTGTTGAAGGCTCTGTGACACATTTTCTCCAGTCGCAGCCACTGTTCATGATCCAACGACCCATCCTCCGATGCCAGGTAAGACTGAGTACCTGCATGGACCGGAAGCTTGGAAAACAGAAGCTCGAAGGAGCGAAAAAATGGAAGTGTCCACTTGCTTCACTCAGCAACTCCTCGGAAACCTCCTGTCAGCGAAACCATCAAAGACCGAAATAGCACCACCACAGTTTGAACCGCTGTGCAGACTACTTCGAGCAACAGGTACTTCCCATCCGAACTGCAGATTTTTGGCAAAAACACGAATTATGAATATGGAACCCTTTTCAGCCTCAGGAATTTCCCATTGTACCTCCCTACTCAAGCATTTTCGTGCTCCGGATCTTGACGACCTTCCATTTGCTCTGCTCAGTCACGGTGGTATGTTACTCAGCCAGTTCCTCTCCAGCCCATTCGTGTCCGTCTGGGAGAAAAAGATTGTCCCAGAAACGGTTAGCCGGTAATAATGTTCGGCTTCAAAACACATACTCGTGGTATATGTAGTAGGCATAAGAGCATCAGTTTGACTATGGTAGTGACAAGACTTCTGACCAGTGATTCCTCGTCGTCGTAAGGCGGCACGCGAATCCTCGACCAGTAAGCATCGAACGAGATTTCGGTTGGTTAGGGACTGCATTGATTACATCTTCACACTCCGTCAGGTGTTACAGCAACCTCGTGTTCACAGACCGCCCACAATCTTGGTTTTCACTGACTTCAAGGACACGTTCGATTCTGTCTATTGTTCAATGTTTCTAACCACGGTTGCCTAAGAGATGCCCCAGAACATGCTCCATTCCTTATGTTCACATACCTCTAGGCCTGTGAGAGCGTATGGAGGCCTCTCTAGAAACTTCTCTGCAAACGGTTCGAACGCTGGTCGATCTTCAAAACCCCGGTGTTCAAACGACCGTTGGCGGAAGCCTGGTTAATCTTGGGTACACAGACGTCGTGCTAATCTTTGGAGATGAGGACATTGACTACCATCATACCATCTATCGATGTGCGCGTTGCACCTTCAGAGTACAAGGTCATGTTTTATAATGTAAAGTCTCCCATTAGTTCGTGGAGGAGCTTTGGAGGTTGTAGGAAATTTTACATACCTTGTCGGATGACGTCAACGAATTCGTAACGAGAATCGAATTGTGCCTAGCTGCCATGCCACCCGAAGGTTGCATGAGGGCTGGGCTACTGCCAGGTTCTCCAAGCCTAGACATGTGAAGTCGAGATAAGGAGGTTTGGTTCGAACCACGGACCCTCCGGTCAGTAAATCCGTAACGAGGTAATGAGGTATTTGGTTATGTAGCAAATACTTCAATCGCGGAAAACATCCAGCACCATCAACTGCGATGACTCGGCTATGTGCTACACTTGCCGAACCATCCTCTACTGAGACGAATGTTGTTCTCTGTGTCTTCAGATTGTCAGAAGCTGCGGGGTGAACAGGATGTGGAAGAGTGCGACGAGTTTGTGTGTTATTGTTGCAGTTCGCCTCCAAGGATGAGTCACCGTTACCCCTCCTGCGCTTGGCCGGCGACATTACATGAAATTGTGGCAACTCGCCGTCAGTGGTGTTCGTTCGGTTTCTTTTCAGATTGATTGAGCGCTTGGAGGTGTAGGCGTCTCAGAATATGTGACAGACTAGCAGCAGATCCATCCTTTATCCACTCTTCACTTTTAGGTTTCAAATCTAAATGGATAAACTCTGTGGGTATACAGCAGTGAAACATCAGTGTCAACACTGGTGTTGCTGTCTCTGATTGTGGTGATGATGATACACCGACTGTTACGACGGCTACGAGTAATTTTTCTGCCCGCCTTGAACACTTTGAATAAAAAGAAGCTGGTGGTACATTTTCTGCATGTATACCGTTTCCTGTAGTTGCTTATCGACTAAAATGTACTACTGTTTCGCGTTATCCCTCCCTCCACGTGACTTTTTCACTGATCGCTTCCTTCATTCCCCCACACAGTTAGTTTACAGCCTGACCAACTTCCAGCGGACAGAATCTGCTATTGCATTCCTCCTCAACTTTTGGAATTTGGTGCGCAAAGACAAGGTAAATTCTATAAATGTGTCATCTGCTGTTACTTTGACGTCTTCGCTGTAAACTCTTGTTAGCGCTGATAAAGTTTGGCATGTGATTAATTTTTTTCGCAAAAGCTGTTGGAGCATAGATATAATTTAGTGCTTTCACAGCCATTAATCACCGGCTAATCGTTAGTCTGACAAACCCACTCAGCACTTGTCACACTCACCTCAACACAACGAAGTGGTGGGCTTCCCCTGGCATCTTTTTAGCTCCTAGCTACCACCAAGTCGTGTTCGGACTATCTTTTTCTATCGATGAATGCCAAACAGTCGCATTTCACTCTTGATCATTTAAAACAGAGTCAGTACCCATCGTCCCTGACTGGTTCCCGTTGACTGACTGTCCTGAGCTCAAAACTAGCTCAGTGGTTAGGGCGCGAACTTACTGACCGTAAGGTTTCTGGTTCGAACACGACCCTGGCATCTAAACTGTTTCTGTCTTAGCTCGGGAAACCTGACAGTATCTCACCCCTTGTGTTCCCTTCGAGTAGCGTTGCAGCTAGACAACGAAGGTGTTGCGGTTGGACAATTGTTTTGGTTGTTTTTTGGGCCTTATCATATGCCGTACATGCCTAACCCCCATGTGTGAATATGTGAGTAGGTGGAATAGAGCACTTAGGACAACTGGATTCACACCATCCTTCTAGTTTCTCGCTCTACTGCTTGTTGTGCTAAAACGCCCCATCTTCTCAAAACAGCTGTGTTCTCACTCCGGGTTTCCCTATCCATCCCTCACTCAACATCCTTGATTAACCTGATCCCTGACTGTTAATATTTTCCTGATACTAACAAGTCTGGACAGATGCGAAATGTTTTAGTGTAGTTAGTCCACGTTCCATGTCTCCTAATTTGCTTTCGGTTTCAATCTCCCCCTCTTAGGGCCATTTTAGCTCCCCGGGCACCAAGTCCTTGCACTGCGGTCTTGAAAATTCCGGCTCGACCGGGCGTTTCTCTACTACCTCATGCGACGCACGCTTACCGGTCTTGTCGTCAGACGCCTCGCCATTGCTCCTGCAAGCTCCAACCACAATCAGCCTGAACAGCACGGCAAGTTTGAGTGAAACCGGGAGTCTGGATGAGAATTGCCAAATATCCGTCTCATCTTCAGGCCTAAAATCTTCTACGAATGACACTAGATCACAGTTGAATACCACCGACCACGAGGCCGCAGACCTGGTGATAAGACCCCTAAGTAAAAGTAAGTTATTCTGCCCGCATCAGCTCGAATATGTTTCAATTCTCTAGCTCAGTATTAGTTTCACAGGCAATTCACCTCGCTGTTCATGGTCTTCACCGTAATTCCATCATCTATAACAGTGGTCCTTAACCCAGTCGATCTATCTCATATTCCTTGGAAATGCGAGACAGGTCGGCCGGGTAGGGCTTCCAGGTTTCAATATCAGAAGCTCCTTACAACTGCAAGGTGTTGACAGTTCTGTGAACATATGGTGGTCACTCACTGAATCACGCGTCACAAACACTCAAACCACGGTACAAAATCCTGTCCCACTTGCAACATTGACTGACAGCTTGTACTTTGCAATCTCCCATCCATTTTGCTTTTAAGCAACTACCGCCTGAATCACGTGCCAGTTTCAACCACATCAAGTCAAGTTGTTTCCAGGTCTGTGCAACTGTCAAACATTGCACACGAGCAATAGACATGCAGCTCAATCCGAAACAGAGCAGGAGGTCAACCAAACTCCACACGTCTACGGACACGTGTAGCAGCTATACAGCAGAGGTAACACGTGCAGCGTCCGGCCCTTCACTCAGGCTCTCCCACCAGTTATCCTCAGACGTTGTTACCTTTTGACTTATTCCATCTATCGAGCCCGACCTCTGCCTCTCGACGTCCCCTGTCTAGGCTTGGGCAACCTGGCAGTATCTCAGTCCTCGTGCTTCCTTCGCGTTGCATGGCAGCTAGGCACCGAAAGCATGTTACAGCTGACTGGGGTGGTTATCTATTGACGGACCGGAAACTTCGCGGTTCCTACGGAATAGAGTAAAAATGTCCTTTCTGTGTGTAGCCGACATGCGACTTGAAGGAAGCACGAAGGCTGAGATACTGCCACGCTGCCCAAGCCTAGACAGGAGCAATCTACGAGTTAGGCTCGAACAAAGAACTTTCCGACCAGTAATTTCGGGCCTTGACCGCTGAGCTATCCCGAACTTTTTCCGGACTGCACACCAGCTATGCGCCGAAATGGCACCACAGTTGAACGATTACTTAATGTTTTTTACTCATATTTGATTCCATTATTTTCATATATTAGTCAATGGGCGATGTTGCACATGACTTTGTGGGACCCATCAGTTCACTAATCATTACACCACTCATTCAACTCTCGACTCAGTGAAAAAACCACATCACTGCGAATTTTTCGGAGTAAAACGAAGCTTGTTTTAATCAGGGCAGAAAACTTTTAAGAGACCGGAATTGGGAAGCACACAGCAAAAAAAATTACTGGCCTATTCTCACACTTGAGGGCGAGATGGCTCAAGTAGTTAGAGCTCGAATTTCCCGACAGGAAGGTCCGTGGTTCGAATCCGACCTCCGCCTCTCGATTTCCCCTGTCTAGGCTTGGGCAACGTGGCAGTATCCCGGCCGTCGTGCAACCTTCGGGCGGCATGGCAGTTAGGCACCGAAAGGGATGGAACACTTTAGCAATGTTGCTGACCAGGATATGGGCTCTCATCGAACCAACCGAGCTACAACGAAAAAAACAACCAATCGATTATCTGGCTGGATTCATCTGTCGTCGAACAGATGAAAAGTCTGCACAAATGAGTCCAACGATGAATTTTTTCTTTAACGTTGAGTCGCCTGGTGACATTTACGTCATTTAGTTTGAACCATGGCGTATCTCTGCCCACGTGTTGCGTTTTACAAACGTCGGGGCTTATGCAGCTCAAGTAGTTCATCAACCAGTAACACGTCCAACACCGTTCCTAACAGGAAAGCTGGAAGACTGCGGCATTCATGTGTCTGAAAGAGCTCCTGACTTTCTTACCGAACTCTGGGGCGAGATGGTTCAAGTGGTTAGAGCGCGAATTTACTGACTGGAAGGTCCGTGGTTCGAACCCGACCTCTGTGGCTCGAATTTCCCTGTCTAGACTTGGGAACCCTGACAGTATCCCAGCCCTCGTGCAACCTCCGGGTGGCATGGCAGCTAGGCACCGAAAGGATGCTACATCTGAACGGTTTTGTTTCTGGATAACCTCAGGGTAGACTGTGCATCAGACAGCCTTGTCAATTGTTGACGCTGACTCCGCACACAGAATATAGAGATATCGAGAATAGTTCTACCCAGTCATGAGAAGCCATTCACCAGGTCGTTGGTATTTTTTATCGCCTAATTATTCCCTCCATGGAACACCTCAACTCGATTATTATTCGTTAATTGTGCTATCATATTGCCATAGTCGTGTACGCACAGTCCGCGGCTCTGATTGGAAGTCTAATTCCAGATGTCCACATACTCTATTCTGCTTTTACATCAGCAGTAACAATGGAGCATCTGTATAACACTGGTTGTGTAGCACTCAGGGATAGTAGGCAACTACGCGCATCGACTCTCGTCAGCCCGATGCCGCAGCCGTAATATATTACAGCGTTTCATTCGTGCCATACAGGAAAGAAAATATCCATTTTTGGCAGTTGGCGGATCGAATGCCGCGATTATCCACAAGTAATCAAACACCCAGTGTGATGGATGAAAGATTGAGGTGTTTCTCCTTCGAACTGATTGCAGAGAGTACGGTCTAGCCACCTTCCCATATTGTGAATATTGTCAAGCGCCTGCGTATCGGGCTCTCTGGTTCACATCTTCCTTTGGGAACTAACTCAGAGAACCTTGCCGATGGAGGGAACGGTGTTAACAAAGATATCATCTACTTGGTTCACAAATGCATTTATTCGAGAGGCCTCATAGTACTGATGTTTCGGTTGTAAATATTTCTTGTCTTGGTCGTAATAGTCCCAGAATTCTAGTGTCTTGTTGCTGCAAATGGTGTGAAAAATGCTCAATCTTTAGTAACTGGTGGAGCTGTCAAACTTGGTGTCAAGCGAAATATGTTGGAATGCTTCATGTAACCCCGTCAAGGCATTTCGTTTATCCAACTTCCGAACAAAGGCTATTCACGTTAGGCGTGTTGACCGGTCCTATTTAAGGAGACGGTTCATCTCAGTGGAGGAAACCCCGTATCAACCGTGTGAACAAATAATGATGTTAGTACCTCAGATTTTGATAAGACACAACGATACACTACAGCTCTAGTGCACTGATATTGTGACCCTCTATAACACCCCTCTATAACCTTCTATAACCCATAGCACCATCATCACCACGGTAGAAGTTGGGAAAACTCCTCTAGGAACTGCATCTGAATCAGCACGTTTGGGTCCAGACTTGTGCCCGAGCTCGAACGGGTCGGTTCAGTTGCGAAGGCGCGAACTTACTGACCGGAAAGTCCTTGTCTCAGACCCGACCTCTGCATCTTTCTAGGCTTGGCCAGTCTGTTAGTATCTTGGCCCTCGTGGTTCATTCGGGTGGCATGACAGCTAGGCACGGAAACTTTATTACCTTTTGGGATACGTAACTATCCCCTCAGACATTTGTTGTTATGAGGGTTAGGGACTTTCGAGGTCGTGATGGCATTCGGTTAGGGCTCACCGATCAATACCCACCCCCACCCCCGTGGTCATTGGCCCCAGTCACAGCAACAGCAGCAGCGTTGGTCATTGAATTTCCAGTCGCAAAGACTTTATCCTCCACAGCCTCCTAGAAACAAACCCCTATTTCCATCTCCCAGGTCCTTCCATTGTCCGCCAGTCGGTGACTACTGTCGCCCGAGCATCGGGTCATTCCACACCTGGACGTTCCTCATTTGCATCATCGCACAGTAACAAGAATCCAGATCACGAGGTTACGCAACATTCCGCTGAGACTCCCTTCCTTCGGGCTGAAACAACTGAAGTTCTTCTACCTCAAGTGGAGTCACTTCACCCCGATGGCTCTACGACCTCCCTCAGCAATGGACAACAGATGTTGCATGGTGCCTCCAGTGGAAGACCGAAACCGGTGGCTTGTTTGACTGAATCTCCTGGGTGGGGTGCCACATGGCCCTTTAGTTTTCTTCCTTATCCGTTCTCCAGTTCACCACAACGACTAACTATGCTTATTGCCTACGCAATGTGAGTTATCTCGGTTTTCACTGCCGTATTTCCACACAGTACTCGTATTTCAGATATTACTCTTTCTTACCTCAGCATATTTCTCCAACTTGTTGGAGCGAAACAAACCTCTCCGCTTTAGCGGTTATTTGTTTTAGTCACGTGATATGAAAACGTCCGCTTCGTTACATTCCATTTGCGTTTGACAACAGCTGATTCCGTGGCGTGTTACTATTCATCCAATCATGTGGCTCGTTTCTGCACGCTTCTCAGCTGATTCATTGTGCACAACTCCATATTAGTGGTAGGAATGAATGCTCATGTCCATCCATGGTTGTCGTTTTACTCCCACACGGGTAGCACGTAAGGCCTTCAGGAGGCAACAAATTATCGTTGCACTAGATTGCTTCCTCAGATTAACAAATCTGACCGGAAATCAATCAGATATTATTGCTTAGCCCAGTTTACTCAATCTCAGGTTTTCTGAACTTCATCCCTGTCAGCTGCAATTCAGTTGACCATTTCACTTCTCTTAGCTATACGGTCCACGCATCCTTGATCAGTGTGACCCTTGGTCGCCAAAAACTTTCGTATTTAGAACCACTTGTTTTTTCATCATTATCTTCATCTACAGCACAACATTAGTGTCTGTTTTGAATGAATCCAACAATCTAATGAGTCATACTCTCTTTCCATTCCAACCACAGTCTCGCATTTTTACTCCTATCCACAATGCACCTGTACCACCGTTTGGCTGTATTCGATCTACACGGAAGGCCCGGCTTGACACGAACCTCTCAGCCACAGCTCACCGAACACGAATATCGTGTTGGTTTGGAATTTTTAGAAGAGCAGTTGATTCAACTGGTCAGTCTGATGGCCAGTTGACTCCACAGCTCACCGAACACGAATATCGTGTTGGTTTGGAATTTTTAGAAGAGCAGTTGATTCAACTGGTCAGTCTGATGGGCCAGTTGACTGAGTCGTTGGCCAGACTGACCACGGAGTTGCGATCACTGGATCCGGTTGGTGATAGTTACGCGGCCACACCATCAACTGAGACTGGACCGCTCACTTGATCCACTACTTATGTGTACATTTTCGAAGCAATCCTTCAGGTTGTGTGTGTGTGCGTACTATCTGTTCGTCACCGCATTTCCATCCCACCCTTCCGGATTTGTTCCTCGCCTATTCGCCGTGCACAATCCAGCGTGTTCGAAAATCATTCGACAACGTTTGTCTACAAACTAGTCTTCATGTGCTTCTGTTATTCCTTCTTCAGAGAGAGAGAGAGAGTATATACTTGCCTCAGTTGATCTCACCCCCATGGATCTCTTCTCCTATTTTTCCATTATCTACACGAATCGATACTTGGCATTGTATACTACTACCACTAGTGTTAATACTATTATTCAACTGACTACTACTCAGGATAGTATTGAAGGCGTTTATTTTACTTTTGCTGCGTGTGTGTGTGTGTGTGCATTTTCACAGCCAGCTTGAACTGCTGTTCACTATGACAGTACTCCTTTTCCGCCTTCATCTGATTACCTCCACGGCTGTAATGAGCATGCACGTTCAGGGGAAGTGCTCGGACAGTTCCCTGTTTTCAACGCCCATGTCTTTCCTCCATTGTGTATTATTATCGTCCATCTGATCGATGCGTCCACGCGCTGTGTTGTGTGACCTTGTCCAAGGACTTCTCTGTGTTCATACAGCATTTTGGAACCTGTGATAAGCGAATGGTGATACAATCACACTTGTAGAGAAGGAATAGAAGACAATATTGCGTTTAGTTGTTTGTACAACAGTGTTTTTTGTATGTTGGGAGCACTCTTTGGTATCGTTTACCGTGTCACGCACTGGCAATGTATTCAAGCTCCTGTTGGAAATCGGGTATTCAAATTTCCGCAGTCGGAGTTCATTTCGAAGTTCGCCTAGTGTCTACTATGAATGCGCCTCAAAGTGGAACATCTGTCCAGGTGCACTTTGAGTTCGATCCCAACACGTGACTCATTGCCTCAGTGTCTTGTTAGCTCAGTGGAGAACGTCGTAGCCTCACTTTTAAATGATCTAAGCTCGACCCCATGCATGGGTACCTCGCAACTGTCCAAGCCCCCTCCTAGTTCACCGACAGAAGATGTAGACACTTAGGAAAAAACAATTGAAGTTTATCGTCATTTGAATCATTGTGTGCTTCTGAGTCGTTCTGAACAAACCAACAGTAGTTTGATCAAAATCTTACGACATATATTCTAAGGCATCAAACCGCCTCTGTCCATACACTGTCGTGCACTAGGCAATGGTCCTCATACTTGATTGGATTTTGCTCCTGAGGTGATTTTTATGTTTGTTTTCTTGTCATCACATTGAGGTCACCAAACCTGAGTTCCGACCCTATTGTTAGACTTCATCAGTAGCGGTTTTCAAGTAGCAGTTTTCAAGTATCAGGGTTCAATCCCTCGTTCGACCAAGGGTGTAAGGAGAGCGAAATTGGGATCTAGGTAAAAATAAATAAATAAATCGTTTAGCTGTAAAATCCTTTCGGGGCGTAGCTGACAGGAGCAGTCGAGATTTAGAGGTTGGGTTCGAGCCACGGACCTTCTGGTCAACGAGTTCGCACCCGAACCTCAAAATCGGATTGGGTGCTTCGCGTTGGCTGCACGTGATTGTGCTTGATGTCCGACGATGGAGAACCATCTGATTCAAGCGATTGTGCCTTGAAGAAGAAAGTTTCTCGCCTTGGTGCGATTGGGTTCACTATTTAAAAAACCCAAACAAAGCGAAATTCTTGTAGTGGCGAAACACAGTCTGGATCATATGTTAGCAACGACGTGTGTACGTATTACGGCTCAAATCCGAGCATCGACCAGGCTACATATGTTTCGTCTGCTCCAGCCAACCTTCCAGGAATGATAAATCTTTTCCTCAGACCGGACATCTGTTCCCAGATTGGTGGGTGGAAACAATATCAATTTCCTATCTTGAAAAAAACGCCATCGGACTGACTGCCGTGGCCTGTGTTTCGGTTGTTGTCTAACGATATTCAAGCTGGCACCGCATCCCCGTCTTCGGGAGATTTTATTAGCCTGGTGGCTGATAAAAACACATCCAAATAAACTGCTTGCATGACCAGTGGAAATCCATTCAATCTACTTCCCATTTTACACGAGGAATATTGATCGTCGGTTTGGTTGAACGATTTACATTGACTATAGGCTTCGTTGTTCAACAATGAGAACGAGGTTCGCTGCACAACGCAGCCAACCTCGAGTTCCGACTTTTTTGGCAACCCAAAAGAAATCAGCTGACATTGATCACGTTTCAGTTTGGGTAGGGAAGAATGGAACAAAAATATAAATGCTAATCTTTATTTCGATCCGGCTTCATAATTAACCTGCCATACGACCGATAGTCCAGAGCGAATTTCAAGGGGAGGCTCGAATTCTCGTGAAAATTCAACCAGATGTGTGGTCCACAGGTAGTTTTAAGGTGCAGGGGTACCGTCGGGATCCGCTAGTGATCTTCACAACAGAGGGAACGAGACCAGGCAACCAACTTCCTGTCGTTTTTTCGGGGCCAGCACCAGTCATTTGGTGCGTGAGATAGCACTCGTCATTACAACTATCTCGAGAGGGAGAGCGGCAGTTGTCCGGTTGGTTTTGGCCCAGGGACAGGTTCGACGCTTTCAAGCGGTTAACTTCACCTGATCGCTTATTCCACGTGATAACTCTTGAACATATTCCGAAGCCACGCGAGCTCTTGTAAAGTTCCAATAGGAACCGATGAGGGTAGGAAATTGTGGCATAAGTGCTAATAATAACCGCGTTCTTTCGGTGCCTAACTATCGTGCCACCCGAAAGAAGCACAGGGGCTGAGCTACTGCCAGGTTGCCCAGACAGGAGTGGTCGGCATGCAGAGGTCGGGTTCGAATCACGGACCTTTCGATCAGGTATCTCGCGCTTGGAAGAAATCGTTCGTTCTGAAAAATGAGCTATCTCGTCAACATAGTGTGAGTCGATGAGCGATTCCCAAAATCGTGTGTGCACATGGGAGCTCGTTTTTTGTCAGCTTAATCAGGAGCACGTTTAACCGTTATAAATATGACTGCAAGATCACTTTCAGTATCGGGAACTAATGACCTTAACTTCCCCAGAGAGGATCGACTAAATTCACCTGTTTTAGAGATAGTGAGGCAGTTTTGACCTGCTTTTGGACTCAGTCTAAGGCCGGGAAGCACTGTGTTGCTGGCAATTCCCCAGTAACAGAGTATATCTTACAAACCTTTAGGAGTCGAACCCGCACTGTTCCAGTTAGGTGTTGAACTCTGTACCATTCAACATGGATGGTTGGTTGGCAGTCATTAACTCACTCCAAAACGGGATGTAGCACAAGTTTCCCTCGAATCGTTACAGCGCGAATTTCCTGACCGGAAGGTCCGTGGTTCGAACCCGACCTCTGGCTCTCGACTTCCCCTGTCTAGGCTTGGGCAACCTGGTATTATCCAGGCCCTCGTGTTTCCTTCGGGTGGCATGGCAATTAGGCACCAGGAGGGTGCTTCAGTTGAACGATTTAGTCTTATTTTTTCCATCAGTTTGCCTTGATCCGAAGTTGGCCGACTTCGTAGATACCACCTCTGATCAGTCCCGTTTAAACTCATTAAACCAGTGCTGAAATGAATGCCGGGTTCGGTTTTGAGTTTACCTCCCACAAACGATGTAAGTTATTTCAGTGCCATGGGCGGTCGACAACGAACTGCTCTCCGAAAATATCATGTAGTCAAGGGCCAGATTGCTGGTTCCTGGTGGACAATGGCTCTCCCTCGGACGAAACAGAGCGAATGGCCTGTTCACACCGTGAATGGCTATCTGGCACATTGCATCCAAAGAATTTAGGCCAGCTTACACACTTTTCTGTGCGGGGGCAATTTAGTCAGAGAGTTCAGCTACCAAGGGTACGTTCATATCAATGTCGTGTGTTTGTTCGCCAACGTAGGACAGATAAAGCCCGAAACCTGATGAATTTGGTATGGAAGTGTGCCTTGCAAAGTTACCGTAATACAGCTTCGTAAACATGAGACTTATTTCGGTTTTTGTTTGTCGTTCTAGAACGACAAAGAATAGTTCATCCCTTACCAAACAACTCTGTCTAAAATCCAGTTACTGTTCTGGCACTCGTTACGTAGAGGGAGCACTCCAGACATGTCCCTGCATACCATGATGTTCCTGAAGCACGTTCAAGGGGATTCACTCGCACAGTGAGGAAGTACCGTTCAGTATTTCGAAATGTCTCATTGGAACAAAGTCACTGAGGCCAGGAAGGATTAGGGTTCCACGATCTATTCTGTTTAGGTGTGAGTTGATTACAGCGCTGATCAGCCGCTCGTTGTCGAGTTGTCACGTGTTCAACCACTACTAATCGAAAGGTCGAGGGTTCGAGAAGTTCTGGGGTTTCGTAAGATATCGGTGATCCCAATGAGGATGAAGCAATTTTGCACGTGGCTTCTCCTTGCTCATGTTAGCTGGAATGGATGCAGGAACTCCAGTGTGAAACAGGATTGGTAGTGAGGATTTTTACTAGAAAACGTCAGACGGTTTTTGTTTAACGAAAAAGGAATCCGGAGTTCTACCCGGAAATCACTACAAGAAGATTCTGAGGGGCACGTTTAACTGGATAACAAGTATTGTGAGTGTGTGAAGAACCCATCAAACAAGGTTTGAACACATCATTCATGTCTAGCAAGTGCTCCAGGTTTCTTCACATTTGAAGGAATCCCCCCTGGCATTCTAGATACGAATTCGAATAAACCAATGATCACATCTTGTGGAGTCACGTGATGACAGAACTGCGGTCTGTGCGTCCACGTGGATCGCATGATTGATAGGAAGAGAGTAGACAATTCTCACCGGCTGATATCTCTGTCTAGACGAGACATAAAACTCCCTATCGATTTTTATGTCCGGACAAAAATTTCATGCGAAGAGAAAGTCATCATGACACTGCATTGATCCGTATTGTCTAGCAGAAGAGACCACTATGAAACCCACGGAATATGCGGAGCGCAACGACGACACGTCTG